TAATGAGCTCCCGCACCTCTTTTTCTGCGTAATGACCCCGTCAATGGGGCATAATGCCATAGAGTCCCCCTTCCAAAGTGGCCATTTTTCCTAGGTGGATTGATCTCTGTCGGCCGGAGATCAGTTTTAACAGCGGGGGGGATCTCCAACCACCACGAGGAGTTTAGAGAATCTTACAGCATACGGAAAATCTTGCAAAGCCTATACAAAAGATAGGGACCTCAAGGGACACTGAAGCAAATGGAAACTGGGAAACTGGAAGCACTCGTACAGTCTTTAACATCGCCCTGGCAGGGCTCTTTTTGTAGAAAAAGCCCAGCAGGAACTCATTAGCATAATAGGCCACACCCAACAGCAGACACTCATTAGCATATTAGGCCACACCCTTGACAGCACAGCACATTAGCATATTAGGCTGCACCCCCATGTTATCAGAAGTGTGGTCATCCAGCCACACACCCCTTTTGCTTCTTATTCTGTTTACCTTGTTGGTTGTCAAAACCCAGGGCCTTTTTTTGTAGCAGGAACTCATTTGCAGGTTAGGCCACACACCCCTAATGTAGCCAATCCTAATGAGTTTCTGCTGTTGGGTGTGGCCTCTTATGCTAATGAGTTCCTGCTGGGTGTGGCCAACTCAGGAGCCAGCCGGAACTCCGCTCCTGTGCGTTCCTGCCCAAAAATAGCCCTGGCCCTGAGGCTGTGCAACACTTTCACTGCCAAATGTCAGTAAGGAAACTGGAAACACATAAACGGTCTTTAACATCACCCGGAGGAGGAGGAGGAGATTGGATTTATACACCACCCTTCACTCGGATTCTCAGGGCGGCTTACAATCTCCTTCCCTTCCCTCTCCCCGCAACAGACACCCTGTGAGGTAGGTGAGGGGCTGAGAGAGCTCTGAGAGAACTGCCCTTGAGAGAACAGCTCTGAGAGAACTGTGACTGACCCAAGGTCACCCAGTTGGCTGCATGCGGAAGAGTGGGGAATCAAACCCGGTTCTCCCAGATTAGAGTTCGCCGCCCATAACCACGACACCAAACTGGCTCTTTAAGAAAGACATCAAAGAGACGACAGAAATCAGATTGAGGATCATCTCCTTTAGCACGTATTTCTTGATCTCCGAGTATCTGTTTCTGTCATAAGAACATAAGAGAAGCCAATGTTGGGTCAGGCCAATGGCCCATCCAGTCACACAGTGGCCCAAAGATACCAGGGGCCCTCAGGAGGTCCACCAGTGGGGCCAGGACACTAGAAGCCCTCCCACTGTTGACCCCCCCCTCCAAGCAACAAGAATATACATATGGGGGAGAAGAATTAGGATTGTTTGGGTCAATCGGCAGCCGGGCAAAGCACACCAGGTCCAGGAAATATTTTTTTACAAAGGATTGTTAAGGGAAACACGCGGCAAGGGACGGAACAAACATGTACCAAGTGGTGTAGCGTTGAGCCCCCTGACTCGGTGTCTCCTTTGCAGCCTGTGCAATGAACGTCCACCACAAGTGCCAAACCAAAGTGGCGAACCTTTGTGGCGTCAACCAGAAGCTCATGGCCGAAGCACTGGCGTTGATTGAGAGCGCTCAGCAGGTGGGTAAGCGATACAGATCTACGGCTGCTTGGCGGAGGGGACTGGGGTATACTGTCTGATCACAGGGAATGACTCTGGCAAAATGGGATTGGCGGGTGACTTGTCCAATCTGGAAACGCACGTGAAGCAAGAAATGTCTCTGACGTGAATGCACAAAAAGCTGTGTATGAGAAACAAAAGATCGGTAGTTTTAAATGTGGAGGCAGAGAGAGAACCTGAAAAGTACTGGGTTTGATGCATGGAGAACTCGGACTATGACGAGTTCAGACGCGTTTATTGCTGCCAGAACGTCATAGGAAGTGACGCACGACGTAGAGCACGTTGGGGGCGTGGCCCCAATCGTTGGAGGGAAAACCATAGAGTTTTCCCTCCAACGATTGGGGC